CCTTGTCTCTGAGTGTCCTTCATTCAATACAGGCACAGTCTGTGTGGCAAACTCCAGTGCACATCTGTCAGTCTCCAAAACCTTCCTGCCTGGAGCGTTGTCAATAATGCATCTGGGGTTTTATGCTGGTCTTCTGACTTTGACTTAGGGTCAGATATCCCTGATCCTGCTCAAGTTCATGATGGGACAGCCTGTGGAGAAAACAAGGTAAGAAGCATCACAGCAGCATGATGGAATATATCTCACCAAGTGGGAAGTTCTTAACTTCCAAAGGCATTACACAGCTCTCTTGTTTGTGTGTTGTAATACAATGAAAAACCTGCTTTTTGAAATCTACAGAAACAATTAATTAGCTCTGCAAAAACTGGGATGCTACAAATCAGTCAACTACATTATCAGTTATTCAAATTATTCCATCAAACTGCATCCACAGAGTTAAGAAAATGTGATAAAAATACAGCTATAAAATTGTGAAGTTCTGAATGTTCTATCACCCCTTTTTCTTAACATTTAAGTAAAAGCTGTAGCCTTGTTGTAAACATATGCATTTATATAGTATATTTATAAAGGGATGGGATTTTTGTTTAGTTTTGTGTTTGCAAGACTCTAATTACTTCTTCCAGGCCTGTGTAGGTTTCGAATGTGTTGATGCAACATTTCTGGGCTACAACTGTGATGTAAAGCAGAAGTGTAATAATAATGGGGTGAGTAGATGGTGCTTCATGTTTCTAGACTGGTGCAAGTTCCCTGCATAAAAGCAACAACCAGCCAGATGGCTTTGCTTTTTTACTGAACTGTATTAAAAGTTAAATCCACTTTTTTACCTGTATTCCTGTTTCCAGGCCAAACCTCATAGCACTAACATTGAAAGGCAATTCACCAGATTTTCCCAAGGGAATTTTTTATTATCACTGAGCTGTTGAGTTGCTAAAGGAAAATATTCCTTTGAGGAAGATGGTCTGGTAATTCCTGATTTATATATGCCTCTGTGAAAAATCAAAATAGAGTCCAAAGGCTGTAATTTATTGGAGGCAAATAACAACACAAATGTTAATTTTTACAGAGAATTCCCCTGAGGTATCAGGCTCACTCAGTGATTTGGGATGTTATGGAGGGGGAGAGCTTATTCCCAGTTAACACTTCATGTATTTCTATGCAATACTGTGCAGTATTCCTTGTTTCCTCACTCAACTCCTTACGTGGAATTCCAGGTCCTTACTCCAGGCCGCTCTCAGAGCGGTGTTGCTGTTTGACTAATCCCCGTGTAAGGGCTGTAGGTGTGTTACAACAATGGGAACTGCCACTGCCTGACTAATTAATCCCTGTTGTACTGGTGTAGGTGTGTAACAACAACGGGAACTGCCACTGCAATGCAGGATGGGCCCCTCCGTTCTGTAACCAGTCTGGCTACGGAGGCAGCGTTGACAGTGGTCCTGCCCACACAGGTAGGACACTGAAACTGGCCTTCCTTCTGCCCCAGGGTATCATGAAATAAACTACAAATAGCAGGGCTTTTTCAGTTTATTTTCAACTGGTTTTTTTCTACTGCATGAGACACTTAGTTGTGGACTTGAAGAACAAACATTATTATCTGACAATGAAGTAGCATTGCTGGGCTTTACACTTTACACACAAAATGTTTTCCCTCTTTGTTTAAAAACCAAGTTCGCAATCTGTAGCTTTGTGAGGAGAGAAATAATTCACATTTTTACCAGATTTTACTAAATTTGTGTTTTGGGAAAGGGAAAACAAATGGTTTGTATTTATTAAAAGTTTAGGAAGGCAAAGAGGATGTGCAGAGCGATTGTGGGTGAGCAGATACAAAATCACAGAGTCACAGAATGTTCTGAGTTGGAAGGGACCCACAAGGATCATCAAGTGTGTTGAAGAAATATATGGAAAAGGAAAAAGTTTGTATATCATGGAACACAGGGGGGTTAAAGGCAGAAAGAACTTGTAATAACATAAGGCCAAATCCTACTTTTCTGATCGTAGCATTTTATAAATTTCAGTGAAGTTTCAACTGAAAATAATGTGAAGGTTGTAGTGTTTACAACAGAAAAAAAATGCTTTAATATTGTAAATTTCATTATTTCAATTCTTTCTTTCTCTAGACACATCACTTCGGGATGGGCTGCTTATCTTCTTCTTCCTTGTGCTGCCAGTTGCCATCGTTGCTGCAATAGCAATAATTAAGCAGGATGCAATAAGGAGAAAATTTTGCAGGAAGAGTAGAAGACAGCACAGGTATTTCCTTTCTTACAGGTGCTATTTGGACACATGAGAGCAGGCTCCAGGTTAATTTAGCCAGACAGGTAGATGCTTTATCTACACAAAGAATTCCACACCCCCTAAAAGACAAGCCTTCCCTGCTAATAGCAGTAGCAGGTAGTTCAGTCCCCTGCTATTTGGTAGTTTAATCCAGATACTCCAGTTGTCAGTTGTCAGGTGTTTTTCCCAAAAAACATTGCTCTTGCCTAATTGTTATTGATTGTGTTGAACATGGGGACAGAGCACATTGAAATGGCCTGTCAAGTCCAGACAGGGCTGGACTCACAAGCAGAATTCAGATCCTCTGAGTGTAGCCTTGTCCTTTGAAAATGCTGCATCCCTGAAGCAATTTTCTGATCACATGGTTTCTATTTCAGGGATAACAATGTGCAGGAAGCAAAGCAAGATAACAAACCAAGTCATGACACAAGAAATAATCAGGTGAGAGATGCATACTTGCATTATTTGATGTTAATACAAACTCTACAGTGCCTTTTCTCTAATGTAATTATTTATGACTGTGTGGCTTTTTGATACATTGAAACCACCTGCATTTCCAAATATTTAATGTAGTTTAGAATGTATTGAAGAGGATTTCTGTGTGGGTAAGTAGGAGCTTTATTGCCTGCCCTGTCAGCACGGGATGGGATGGGATGGGATAGGACAGGCTGTGACTCAGCAGAGCAGCCAAAGACTGAACAAAGAATTCTGCAGCCAAACACTGGGAAATGCTGCTTAACCAGGCTATGGAACTGGTTCTGATTAAACAATGAAGCTAAAAGCTATCAAAACAAAATGTTGCAAGAGAATACGAAGAATGTCCCCAAAAAAATGAAAACTAGTTCTTAAATACCATTATCTTAATATTGAATAATTGCACTTCGTGTTTTCTGTTAACCTGATTTTCTACAATGTCTTTTCCAGCCTGCCACATCAAGTCCTGATATTTTTACCATTTTGCATTTTCCTGGTACAAGGTTTGTAGCACTTAAACCTTCTTCACTTCACATTCTCTGTGTTTACATTGCTGTATCACTGCATATGAAGTTCCTGATGTCTCGTGTCCTGTTTAGGAGAATTTCTCATGCAGCATCATGAGCTGTAATAGATTGAATGCCTGAGGGAGAAATGCTGTTTTACTGCTTGTTTAGAAAACAGCATAAATGCAGGTAAATTCTACAGGAAGGGGCAGAGAGAGTTAGGTATAAATGTATGTATAAGTGCTAGAAACTGTTTAAAGAATGGTGAAGAACCAGTTTAGAAATACCAGTTGTCTCAAGTAATGAAAATCTAAACATAACGTGTTTTCCACGCTTCAGGCACCCAGTACAAACCCAGTTTCCTGCAGTTCCCTCAGGACCTCAACGACCTCCAGTCCCACCTAGACCAGCGGTCTGAAAAGCTTCTTGGGAACCCTCAACCAATTCTGACAAGTAACTGGCCTGAAAAAAAACAAATTACAAGATTTCAATCCTCCAGTCCTCTCCTTGTGCGGCCAAAATGTCTTTGGGAAGCACGTACCTCTGGGAAAGACTGGATGCCAAGAGGCACTGAATGCAGATTTGGGGACTCCCAGTGTTTTGCTACTTGCTGCTGGCTGTGTTTGTGCCTCCTCTACCTCACCTCTTGGTTTTTTAAATCAGAAGCCTGAAGTTCAACAGCCATAGGATTACACCTGTGACAGTGTGTAAGTCTGAGGTGCAGGCCAAGGAGAAGTGAATTCATTTATTTACAGACATGATTTATTTGGCTCTGGGGACAGTCCCTGGGCACTGCTCTGAGACCTGCCTGCCATCAGCCCTTCAAAGCTGGGGCCCAGAGCCCCCCTCTCATGACCATCAGCTCTGTCCCTTTCCATTTCAGGTAGTTTATAAAAGTAACCTCGTATATGGGGACACCAGAAACACTGTGCCTGAGTCTGAAAGAAACTGTCCAGCTGCTGTTATAGAAAATGTGGGATATTGGGAAATACACTGTACAAGTCAACAGTGGTTCAGTGTCTGCTGCTTATTGCAGCTCGGGATTTTTGCTTTTGTCCACTACAAAAGCAACAGATTAACTTCTGTCCTTCTAAATGAGACAATTAAGACACCACCACTGATTTAAAATGGAACGTATGGAGTGACACAGCTTGTCCAAATGGGTCTCCATCCAGTGTTTCCATCCGGGAGAGGGATCCAGAAAATCTCAGGAAAAAAGTCTCCATCAAAATGGAGAAGCAGCTGCTGTGCAGAGACCAACTCGCTGGGAAGGACAAAACTGTGGATACAGATCCACCTGTCCAACAGGGAGTAACGAACGGACTGGCTGCGTTCGTGCCAATTTGGGAGTATGAACTAGGAAAAGGAGTGAAAAAATTATAGAATTGCCTCACCAACAAAATATTTCTAAGCCCACAGATGGCTACATCACCGAAGAACTGGACAAAAGAACCCAAAATGTATTGCAGGCAAAAATCTGCACTGGCAAGGAGTGTCTGCCAAAGAAGTGTCCTCTTCCTTAATCCCTCAGGATCTTAAATTGTTATTATAATTAAATAATTTAAACAATTAAGATTTTTATTATGAATTATTCCTATAATTTAGACCTCAATCATCGGGGGCAGCACACTAGGTGGTATCTTTGTTTTATGATCTTAAAAGCCACCGCTGGGTACACAGGGAGGACTCAGCCATTTGACGCTCCTGGGGGCCACCAAAGCGAATTATTGAGTTTATTGTGACGCGAGAATGGGGTGAAAAACTGGGTAAAACCAGAATTGTGCGAAAGGGGCCGATTCTGTGGGCCGGGCTTTGTAGCGGCGCGCCCGCCAGGGGGCGCCCCCGTGGCGGCAGCCCGGCGCATGCGCACAGAGCCCCGGCGGGAGCGGGAGAGGAGGCGGCAGCGCTGGCGAGGGGGCAGCAGCAGCAGCGGGGGAGCGGGAGCGGCGGCGGCGCCCGGGTGGGGCTGTGCCTCCTGTGCGGGCTCCCCGCCGCCGGCAAGTCCAGCCTGGCCCGCGCCCTGTGCCGCCGGCTGCGGCAGCGCCCGGGCTGGGCCTGTGCGCTCCTCCACTACGACGAGCTCATCCCGGACGAGGTCTTCCGCCCGCGCGCGCCGGGGGCGGGCCCGCGGGAGCCGCTCCCATTGGTCAGTCTGGCTGCGTCATTGCCGTGCGACCGCTGTTGCCAGGCAACGGGACGCGTCGGGCTGGGACTGGGACTGAGTGTCGGTCTGGGGTTGGGAATGAGACCGGGTCTGGGGCTGGAAGCGGGACTGAGAATGAGACCAGGACTTCGTCTGGGACTGGGCCTGAGTCTAGACTGGGACTAAGAATGGCTCTGGGGTCAGGACCGGGCCCGGGCTGGTTCGGGGCCACTGCGGGTCCCCCCGCGGCCGGGCGGGAGCTGTGCTGACTCCATGATCCCTGCCCTCCCTCCTCCCCGCAGGTGCCCGGCTGGAAGCAGAGCCGCCGCGAGCTGCTGCAGTGCCTGGAGGGTCTCCTGCAGGCGCTGCTCACCGGGGCGCCGCTGCCCGGCCCCGCACAGCCGGGGTGGGAGCGGTTCCTGCACTGCTGCCGCCGGGAAGGGCTGCTGGAGGCGGTGCAGGGGGACGGCGGGGCCCCGGCACGGCCGCTCTGCCTCCTCCTGGACGACAACTTCTATTACCAGAGCATGCGGTATGAGGTGTACCAGCTGGCCAGAAAATGTGAGCACTCCTTGTTCCGCGGCTGGAGGGTGCTTGTAGGAAATCCAGGGCACTTCAGCTGCTTTAAGTGCTCTCGTGGAACTTTGGTTATTCTTAATTGCTGAGTTCCTGCAGTACGATAAGGAGCAACTGAACTTTATTACTGTGTTATTAGAAATTGGTAGGACACTTAAAACCCTTCTTAGAGCAGCCTTAGAGCACCTTCCATACATAAGTGGGCTCCAAGAGAGATGGAGAGAGACTTTGAACAAAACATGGAGTGACAGGCCGAGGGAGAATGGCTTCCCAGTGCCAGAGGGCAGGGTTGGATGGGATATTGGGAAGGAATTCTCCCATGTGAGGGTGGAGAAGCCCTGGCACAGGTTGCCCAGAGAAGCTGTGGCTGCCCCATCCCTGGGAGTGTCCAAGGCCAGGTTGGAGGGGGCTTGGAGCAACCTGGGCTAGTGGAAGGTGTCCCTGCCCATGGCAGGGGTTGGAATGAGATGAGCTTTAAGGTCCCTCCAAACCCAAACCATTCTGTGTTTCTGTGTATTATCTCAGACATTATTACTTGAGCAGCCTTTAAGGTAAAATTGTTGGTGTTCCTGTCTAGGTTTGTGTTCACATCAGGCTCAGAACTTGTGTAGAATCCCCTCAGTCATGCAGAGCCTTTCTCCTGTGTGTTGCTCTCAGAAATTGTTACTTGAACTGTTTAAAGATAAAATTGTGTGGTTCTGTTCGCTTTAGATTCCTTGGGCTTCTGCCAGTTGTTTTTAGACTGTCCCCTGGAATGCTGCCTGCAGAGGAATCGCCTCAGGAGTGATCCTGTACCTGAGCAGACAATACATTTAATGGCAAGGAAAATAGAAATGCCAGATCTCAAGAAAAATGCTTGGGAGCAGCACAGCCTCATTCTGAGAAGCTCTGATTGCATCTCAGAGGACAAGTATGCTACTGGATTGATCCTAGAGTTTTCCCTAAGTGCTGTTTTTGTGAGTGGATAGAAGCTCCTTATTGTATCTAAACAGTGTGTAAAAAATATTCCCAGTGGTGATTTTTGGCAGCCAGTCAGTTACACGAGACACAGGCTGGTTGTTGGGAGCTCACAGCCACCATCCTGTGCAGAGTTAACCTCAAAACTCACTGCATTCCTACCCTGACATTGAAAATCCATGGAAATTGCCTGAAACAATAAGACTGGAAATAACTGAGCTGTAACTGTTTTTCATCTCAGATTATTTCACTGATTGCCTCATAAATTTAACTGAAAACTTACCCTTTTTTTTTTTTCTGTGGTACCATTTCAAAATGGAAGAAAAATGTCAGTGAATCTGTTTGATTGATGTGTTTTACTCTGTTGTTTGTTTTCTTAGTGAGCAGATAATTAACCTGCTGTCCACTGCTCTGGAAAATCCAGCGAGGCCAAACGAGGAGGACACGGAGCAAAAGGTAGCACTGCTTGTCTTCAGGTGGTGACTGAGGTGCTGCTAATGTGTTACTTGTTTCCAAAGTTAGGTAAATTTAAAGTGTTTGCTTGTTTTCTCTCTTTCTGCTGGCCCTGGGCAGGACACAGATCGAGCCATCTGTGCAGCCAGTGCTGTCCACCAGGCTGACCAGGCGTGCAGGAGGGTCATCTCTCAGGCCATGAAGGATGCCAGAGGTACATGTTCTGCCTGTGCCACCCATCCTACCCATCCCAGCTGCTGGTTGGCAGTGGGAGACTAAACCTGTGGAGTTCCCTTGGGGAGAATTGTTCAGGAATCCTGTCCCAGCAGGTGTGACCGAGGGAATTGCCTTCACAGGTCTGGTCACAGTTATTTGTGGAACATGAGTCAAAGTCTGTAGGTTTAAAACCCACTATAATATTTATTAACTGTATTAAATACAGCTTTAATAAACCCATTTAGTCCAGACCAGCATTTTAGAGGATTCTAGTTCACAGGATTTATATGATTAGCAACTCTGTGCATGGGTTCAAGGTTCTCTCTGTTGACCAGGGACAGGACCCGAGGAAGAGCTGGAGCTGTGCCAGGGGAGGGTTAGGTTGGATATTAGGAAAAGGTTCTTCCCCCAGAGGGTGGTTGGGCACTGACCAGGCTCCCCAGGGCAGTGGGCACGGCACCAAGGCTGCCAGAGCTCAAGGAGTGTTTGGACAATGCTCTCAGGGACAGGGTGGGATTGTTGGGGTGTCCTGGGCAGGGCCAGGAGTTGGACTCGATGATCCTTGTGGGTCCCTCCCAACTCAGGATATTCTGTAACTCAACAATTCTATGATTTTGTCTTTAAGATGAAGTTAAAAGTTCAACTTTTATTTTCTTTAGACAAAAGTGTTTCCCCAAGTGAGATGAAGAGCCTGGCAGAAGAACTCAACAAATTGAAGGCAGAATTTTTGGAAGGCTTGAGGCAAGGAAAGACTTTGAAAACCCAAAATTCTGACCCTGCTACGAGCGTAATTTCTTCATTCCAACATGAGGCAACCAATGTAGTCAATAAATATATTTTAAAATAATGACATAGAGAATGTTGGGTGTTTAAATTGCAGCGCTGCTGAGAGATCTCTTCTCTGACTCCTCTCTCCATGGTATGGAAGAGAAACACAGTCTAAACAGACTGGAGATCAAGCCAAGAGCAAACCGTCCTTAAATTTAAATAGAAGAATTTAGCCTGGGAAGAGCACTTGGAAGTCATCTACTCCTGTTTCCTGCTTACCATGGGACTGACCTCGACCCACAGCCTCCTTCAGATGAGATTCTGAGGAGCACCTTGGCTGTGACCTGCTCTGCTCTGTCCAGCAGCCCCTGAGCAATCCCAGAGGTGAGTTTATCCTCCTTACCATATCCAGATCCCATTTAGTCCTGAACAGATCACCAGCCCCACTTGTGGTAGCACATGCAATTAAGAATTAACACGGGACCTAATTAGAAAGTGTTATTTTATTCATATCTTACAAAAGCAAAGCTTCACAACATGAACTACACGTGATAGAGTTATTTCAGAATTAACCTTGTCATCTCAAAAACATTCACTAACATTAAAATTTATTTTACAGCTCTAACAGGTTTCATTTTTGCATAAAATATGCTCTTTACACTGAAATACATATTATTAACAAAGTAGGTACTTTGAAGCACATACACCAAGATTGCTCAATGAAAAATGCTTCAGCAGGAGAGAGATTTCCTGCAGCAGAACATCCATTTGCTGTAGATTTTCAGAGAAGCTTAAAATTAATAGAAAACTTGCCAGTAAAGACTTCTAAGTTACATTCCCTTCGTCAAAAAGAAACAAAAACACCCTCCTCAAACATTCTGGAACAAAACAAACAGCAAGAGATTATTTGGGTAGAAAACACTGCTGGAACATGTCACCCAGCACTGACTTTTATATTAAAATGCCAACCAACATTTTATGTCAAAATCCTCTTCATCTAAACGTGTGTCTGTGAAAAAACAACTATTTTTCCCCATTAGCTGCTTTGCAGTTGGTTTAAGTATTAACTGAGATAATTAAGTTGTTCAAATATTTATTGGGATATTCAGTCTCAGTTAAGTCTGTACTGAGTGCTACAAATAGTGCATGCTGAAATGTCCACAAAGCTATAAAATAATCTCTTACAATAAAAACAAAAACTTCATGAAATTTGTGTTTTGCAACTACAGAACCTAACAGAACCAAGCTATGGAAAAATTCCATTTCCTTCCAAAACTTCCCTGTTAATAAAATGCTAATCACCCACCACCTTATAATATGAGGATTTGTTTTTTAAAAAGAAACAAGTTAGTGCATTGTAGCACATGGAGAACTAGATATGAAAAGTCCCTCTGACTGAGAACTCAATCCCAGAATCCTGGACAAGTATCCCACACTGACAGGGTTAGGCCTGTTTGGGCAAGGGAATCATCAGGATCAAACTCTCAAACAAGTTGCCAGTCTTTAAATTGTAGCCAATAGGATGTACAAATTATGAAAAACAGGCCAATACCCCTTCCAAGGTTCCTCAGTGGAGAAGGGAACAGCAGGGTCAGGGAGCTGTTTGGCACAACAGCACAAGGATGAAACAAGAAGAATCCTATCCCTGGTGTGACCCTCTGTGAAGGATGCAGGGATCTGGGTGCAGAGCCAAGGGACAAACACCAAAGCTGCTGCTGCCCAGGAACCCCTCCAGAGAGGAGTTTGCCCAAGGAAACAGGGAAGTGTTCCTATCATTGTTCAGCTGTTCCTAGATGTCCAAGCTAATCTTCTTTTCCTTAGGAATTCCAAAGCAGAAACAATGGTATCCTGGCAGCAGCATTAAAATCCTTCCAAACAACAATTTGCAAAGTTTGGGGTTAGATTTTTTTTTCCCCACACTGAGTTCTGTTATTAAGAACATATTTTCTCCACAACTGAGGATCCTCTCCTAAATGAGGGCCCCTTTTCCATCAGATCCTGCAGGCTTCCTCTTACTCCCAGTGACCTGACCAGCTTCCTATCCTTAATTTTGTCCAAGGGCATTGTGGTTCAGAAGTCATGTTTCTAAATCACCAAACCATGAGCTGTCACACAAAAAAAAAAGTCTGTAACTGTTTACAGGCGCTGCCAACAAAAGTCCTACTGGATCAGAAACCACATCAATGGGATGGAGGGAGGGAATCCTAAACATTTGTGCACATGGAAGTCAATCTCCCTGCTGATACCAGGAGGGAGAAAGGCTGGAGCCACAAACCAAGGAGAACCTGGCTGTTGTGACTGGTGCCATTCCACACTGTAAGGTGCTCCCTGGAGCACCACCATTCCAGAAGCTTCCTTGGAGCTGCTAGAGCCTTGGAATAGGAGATTGCATTATCTATCAAAAAGGCAAGGAAAACCACTTCTATAAATTACTAATCATAAAGGTCTTCAACAGTTAATTCTCTTATACTAATACTGTATTTTTAGCCAAACGTACATTTTAGAATCTGCCAGTATGTGATCCAGAGGGAACCACCTTTCCTGTCCTCTTTGACTGGAACAGGCATCTTACAAAACCTGTTCAGAAGCAGTTACTTCCAAGTGGATTCCAGTTCAGTCAGCTTTTAGTCCTTAAAATAAAGGCCTCTCCATGCACACAGAATTGCAGTTTTTACTGATAAAATAAATTTTAAAAGTATAAAGCAACAAAGAGGTGTTTTGGAATGATGAAGAGTGTATGGATGAAAAATGGAAATTACATTCTGCTTTACAAATCCACCCAAATGGATTTTGAACCAGGCCTGAAACCAATTACTTTTAGGAGTGACAGTGTGTTATTATTGTTCATCTTCACTATGCTGGAACCACTCCAGTGGCAGATTTCTGACCTCATTACTACAAGATTGTGCACAGCCAACAATCCAGTCCCTTCAGCTGGTTACCTAAGCACAGAAAATCAACAGTAGGTAAGTCAGGTAGAGAGAAACATGCCTGGTGTCCAAATTTCTATTTAATTAAAGTCATAATTACTTCTAAAGCTAAAATTCTCAGACACATGGTTTTTCCTGCATTGACCTTACACTGACATCACTGTTAGTGTTTTTCTATTGGCTCCAGGAAGTTTTAGCTCCCAGAACAATATGAATTTGCATAAGCCAAACATTTGCTACTCAGATTCCAACCAATTTGCTGACAGGAAAAAGGGAATACATAAGGGAAGCTTAAATTTTTCTCAAGTAAGACAAACCAAGGTAAAAGTGCACGTCTAAATATGGGAAAAGTAACAGTTCTCCTTTTTTTTAATGTCTCAAACTCCTATCTAGCATATTAAGGGTTATTCTTAATTTTGCTCAGATGTTTTATTTAGGTTTAAAGTGCCTGTCCATTACCCTGGGGGCTTCTAAAATAAGATGTACAGTATGAAACAAAATAATCACTTTCAATTACCATTTGCTACCTAAAATTCCTAAACCCGGTGTAGTTCCTTTGCCTCCTACATGAACAGCTCAGAAAAGCCAGAGGCCCTTCCCCTTATTTCCAGCACACCCAAAAGACATTAAATCTGGGAGAGGGAATAAAAGAGACCTCCAAGTCAGCTGAATTTACAATAAACTAGATCATATAACCCTCAAACATACAGGCAACGTCTCAGTTGTAGCCTGGCCCAACATAAAACTGAACAAAGGAGTTTTAATTTGTAAACCTCTTGTTTGTTCCTATTAGCACTCCTGTCAGCAAGACAGAAGTCTAATTGTGCAAATTTTAAATATCTGTACAAATTAGTTTAAGGCAGTTAGAAGTCTCACAGAATATATATTAGTTCTACAAGCTCTTTATTATGTCTGTTTAAAAATTATCTCCTCTGAAAAAGATGTAAATTTTGGAAAGTGTAGGTTAAAATAAGGTATCCTGTTTAATTTTTTGTTTGTATGACTCACGAATGACAAGCTTTTAACTCCTTTTTTTTTTTTCTACCAGAGTTTTATTCCCAATAACCCGTTACCTTCTGGTTTTGTGACGAGTTTTTAAAATAGTTAAATTAGTGTTTGAGCCCTAGAATGAAGAGTGTAGGCTTCTAAACAGAAACTTATTATAAACCTCAATTGGATTAAAGCAACTTTTACATCAAATTGAATTTGTATGTGGAAGTTGCTTCTGTTTGCTTTTCAGGTTTAGAGTAGCCAAGTTTTTAAAGATAAGTATGTCTCCAAAGTAGCCATATAGAACCACAGAGTGGTTTGGGTTGGAAGGGACCTTAAAGATGATTTAATTCCAACCCCCTTGCCATGAGCAGGGACACCTTCCACTAGCCCAGGTTGCTCCAAGCCCTGTCCAACCTGGCCTTGGACACTTCCAGGGATGGGGCAGCCACAGCTTCTCTGGGCAACTCTCACAGGGAAGAATTTCGTCCTTATATCCAGTCTAACCCTGTCCTCTGGCAGTCCTTGTCCTGTCACTGCTTGATATGCCACTGCATTAACCTGTCATATTTTATGGATAATGTGGCTTGTCCAGCCTAGTAAATACTCTGGTAGTGACATCCTATGGTTCAGGACACACGCTCTGCTTCTCCATTTGCAGAATGTTTATTGGGATTAAATGCAAGCAACTTAAATTTAGCAACCACAGCATGTAAATGCATTCCAATCCTGACAGCACTCTTGGCTTTCTTTGAAAGGCTACATATAAAATAACAACCAAATCCTACACGAAATTTCCCTGGCAAGTTTTACAACAACACGGAAATAAATGTGCCTCCTTTGTCGAATTGACTAGTGTGAATATTCCATATGGGAATGTGCAAGCTTTCCATCAGCAAGTATGAAAAATAGACTGTAATATGTTAAAAAACTAAACCAAAGCATGTCTCAGTCAATGTTGATTATGTTGGCCTCTTGCAAAGTGGCAAGCGAAGTCGTACTTGTTTTTACACTTACACCCACAGATGTTGCACTGGAAAGGATTTTCAAATCCGTGACATCCCATGTGAATTGTATAAAGGATATTGTCTGCAAAGTACATGTCACAGTGTGGGCAGTGATGCAGAAGCTGAGGGTCCTGGACTGGGAGGGTTGGAGCTGGAGTACTTGGCTGGCTGTTACTTATACTGGGAGTACTGGTGTGGGCGCTGCGATCGCTGCTGGGCCCGGCCACAGGACTATAGTTCCTCTGATTTTGTGGAGGCCGAGGATCTGGGCTGGTTGGAGATGAGTTTTGAGGAATATTTGCTGACACAGCTGAAACTACTGCAGGTGCAGCAGGCTGCTGGATCATGAAAGGCTTTTCATCCTGACAGGAAACAACGTCAGGAGAGGCTGGATTTTGGTTTTCAGGTGGCAAGCTGGACAACTGTCCAGCCAACGTGGAGAGCTGGTTTAAAGGATTATCCACCATGAGGTCTTGTGGATCTCTTGGCAACCCTCCACTCTGAGCCGTTTTTGCCATGCCCTCATACGCTTCAGTCTGGATATTTGGGATTTCGTGGGTGAAGTCATTAAGGTAGTCTGGTTTCTGCACCACCATGGAAGGCGGGCTCAAATTAATTAATGCTCTTCTGCTGTACCCCAAATTGCTGGTCTTCTTCTGCAAAACCCCCCACATCTTCTTGCTGCTCAGGGAAGACCTCGTACCCTTGATGGGCACCATCTTGTGTTTGCGCCGCCGGTGGTGGGACAAGTTGCTCCTGTCGCTGCAGCGGAAGGAGCACAGTTCACACTTGTAGGGCTTCTCCCCGGTGTGGGATCGCATGTGGGCCTCCAGGTGACGCTCATAGGCCGAGGCAAAGGGACACAGATGGCACCTGTGTGGCTTCTCACCTGGAAAATTAGAACAGATCACGCTAAAGCACCTCGGAGCACTCGGAAAAGGCTTTTTGTGGGACACGGAGCAGCTCGCTGTGAGCTGCTGATCAAACTCCAGAGTCACTGCCAGTCCTGAGCTCAGCTGAGTATCCAGTGGAAGAACAAAGAACATTGGGACGTCTCTGCCTCACCCAAGTGATAATTAGCACAGGGGAAAAAAAGTGAGTGGAATTAGCACAATAAACAAGCTGCCTTGGAATTGCCCCAGGGATGCCAAGCGCTGAACGCGGTGATGTTTGTGTGGTGCCCTGGACTGGATCCAAACTCTCCTTCACCTATGGGGCTACAGGAATGTCTGTGCCACCAAAATGAATCACTCTTCATAATAACTGAGCTTAAACACTGAGGGAGGATGTCTTTCTAGTATTCTCCAAACATCCCCAGTATTAAACATACTGGAACTACTATGTAAAAAACCCATGCACACACATGCACCCACCAAAAACTTGAGTTTTGAGAAAGGATCCTGTGGCTAAAGAGTTATTAAATAAAACAAAAGCCAGGTACTCCCTGGAGAGTTGTGTGTTCTCCCAGACATGGGAGGTTGTCAGGTATTCTCCTTTTACACAGGTAGAACTGTGATCTTCTATTAAATGAAATTTATAGCTACATGGCACACCTTTAAAACACAGTTATAAAAAACCAATCTAAACCTCAGTTCTAATTGTTAAGAACTATCAGGCTTCTTGAATAGTCAACACACAAATCACAATGTTAATACCCCAAGCCCCACAGCCAAGCCCAGCAGAACATTCCACACCTGTGTGAATCCTGATGTGTTCTATGAGCCGAGCTGTTCCTTTGCTGGCGTAGTTGCAGTATCGACACTTCAACTTTCCATCAAACGTCCTCTCAAACCCATCCACCAACATTCCTGAGTTTTCATCCAGTGAAACTTCAACAGAGGGATGGTCCAGACCGTTCTGATCACCTTCTGTCCCAGCTGTGAGCAACACAACAAAGATTTTAATTAAGAGTCTGTAGGACACTGTCACGCTGTGAGAATAGGCCAAATACCTTCTGCTTCTCTATGCCCTTGGTCTTTAAATATACAGAACTAGAAATCAAAGGTATATACACATCTTTTGTGATGTGAGAAAGACTATCAGAAATGCTTCCATACAACTGCAGCACCTGCATAATTACCTGGACTGAAAACAGTGCAGCCACTCTCAAAAAAAGTCAAATTTATGGCACTGAAATGAGCTCACCTCCCTGGAGAGTCTCCACTTCCTTGTCGCCAGTAACTGATCCAGAAATCATATTGACATGGTGAGTCTGCTGGGTAAGATATTCCTGAAAATCTTTTACAAAGTCCAATGGCTCTGCCTTCTTTTCCCCCATATTGGCTCTTCACATTTACAGCCTCTTGTGCCTAGAAAAGAAAATGCTTTCAGAACACAAAGTGTCACCGAATTTGAATGCATTCATAAAAACAAGTTTGGGTTTTGGTTTGGGTTTTAACTGAAGGATTACTTTCATCACACAGCATGACTCAATGCACAGATTGACAACCATAAGAATGTTATTTTTAGAGCTTTTAACTCATTAAAGATCACCAAATACAATTTATGGGGAAATGGTTTTCGGCAACAGTAACATAATGACCATAACAAATTAGATAAAATGATGTAATAATCAAACTCAACTCGCCTTCTTTTTAAAAAAAATGGATCATACCTGAATTTCACTTCCCTGCTAAGTAGTAAACATGCTCCAAAATGTACTCCCAACACACCAGATAAAAAGCACAGAGCACAGCTTCTCCACTTTCCCTGGAAGAAGAGAAAGGAAATGCAAGTCCCTTATTCTTCTCAACTCCTATGAGCTGTAAGAAAGGAACTTGAAAAAATATTTATGTTTTGAAAGGCAGGCTCTAACACTCTACTGCTCTAAGCTTTATTAAATTAATTACACATCCAGCAAAGACTTTTCACAGGCTGCATCCCTTCCTTCTTGTGTCTCACAGAAGGACACTTCTGTCTCAAACTGTTTCTCTGATGAACATCTGGCTCCAAAAAATCCCAGAGGTGGGTCAGTCATTAATGGCAGCTGTAATGCTGGGAAACCAACTGAATGTTGGGGAGTAGCAAAGATGGAAGGAAGCCTTAAAAAAAAAAAAAAAGCACTATTTCACAGTTCTCCCAAAATTTTAGCTTCCTATCCTGAGTAAAAGTCTTAATCCATTTCACCATTCTGTACTGAAACAAAAATATTCACCAGAAGTCAGTGGTCAGATTCTTTTTGGGGACTGCAAATAACAAACCTCTATAAAGTCTCAATTCACAATGAATTTGGGAAGACAGGATTTGGGATTCAGTTGGAAAGAGGACAACAAGTCTGTCACATTATTATTCCTGCAGATTACGATCAGAAATAATTTACAATGCTACAATTTCAATAAGAATATCCTCGATTTTTTTATAATAGCTACTAAACCAAGCATTAGGTGACCAAGAGAAACTCACACTCTGAGTTCAAGACCACATTTAAACATCTTCTCCTGCATTTGCAAAGCCACTCACAAGTGTTTGTTCATTTTTGGCATCCAGATGAGTATGTTCTTTCACATCATATACCAAACTATTCCATGCCATACTGGCATTTGTTATCACCATTAACTTAGCCTGGATCACATCTTTATGTATCAATTTTGCCTACCTTCTTTCAGGTGTCACCAGCCCCGTGTAGGCCTAAGTTAATTTGTATTCCATTTGTTGCTGTCTCCTGCAAAAAAACCCCAAAGACATCAGGACATAAATTAAAGATAGGAAAGAGAAAACCAGGACAATGTAATGTAGGGTCCTGACCAGGCCAAATTTCCACTAATTATAGTAATAAGAAATAACAATTTAAAATTGAATCAATTCTAAACAGTGAATGACAGAATGGTTTGGGTTAGAAGGGGACCTTCAAGACCATCCAGTGCCACCCCCTGCTGTGAGCAGGGACATTTTCCACTAGCCCAGGTTGCTCCAAGCCCTGTCCAACCTGGCCTTGGACACTTCCAGGGATCCAGGGGCAGCCACAGCTTCTTTGGGCAACCTGTGCCAGGGCCTCACCACCCTCACAGCCAAGAATTCCTTCCCAATATCCCATCCAACCCTGCCCTGTGGCAGTGGGAAGCCATTCTTCCTTGTCCTATCCCTCCAGGCCCTTGTCCAAAGTCCCTCTCTGGCCTCCTTGGAGCCCCTTCAGGCACTGGAAAGGATAATTAGAACATCCCAAAGCCTTCTCTTCTCCAGGCTGAGCAATCCCATTTCTCTCAGCCTTAACTGATTAGATTAACTGCTTTTATAATCATATTTAATTCTGAAAGGAAATTACACAAAAGTTCATAAACAGCTCGGGGGAAAGACATTATTGTGGTGATCAACTGCATAAAACTTCCTCTCTCTGCCTTGTTGATTAAACATGAAAACACTCATCCTTTTTTTCACAGCAGTGGAGGGAAGTCACCACAATTTCAGCACCACCCCAAACCTCCCATTATATGCTCGAAAGATCTTTCTGTGATTTTCTGTGGTATTTTTTACAGCTCCATAGCCAGCAGCTCTCCTCCTCAGGGGGGAATGATGCACATCTGATTATTGCTATGTCACTCCTGCAAAGCATTAAATGTAATTCTAATGATCAGAAACTGAGCAGCCCAGCTCGTGTTTCACACAGGAGGGATGGGCTGATCACACCGGGTGTTACTCGAGCTCTGCTTACACAGCTACACCTCCTCCAGCCTTACATTAGGAGTAGAACACTGGATACTCATTCCCTACACAGGCACAGCTGCTGGACTGAACAGTGGTCACAGCACTGAGGTGGGCTAAGTGTATTGTCAAAGAAGAATGTGCCAGGATTAAATATTCTGCCTAAATAATTCTGCTAAAGAAAACAGTTGATAGTATTTTCTTACTAGAGTAAAACAGGTAGTTTCACACACAGTCAGAATTAATCCTGCAGCAATTATAAGAGAATAAAATGAGGACATGGATGCAATAAGAGAATAAAATGGCTATGAGCACGTGTATGCATCCCACCTCCTTTTAAGGAATCCAGGAGAAAAAAGGGGAGATCTCGCTGTTCCATCTTTTCCAGGGCAAATAACTTAAAGCTGGAAGGATCCCAAACTCTATCCAAGCCTTTTCTGCACCTCCTCAAGGAATTCTGACCCTGGGGAGTGAGAGACATGGAGCTCCTGGAGTGGGTACAACACAGGACAACAAGGATGACTGGGGGCGTCTCTGTAACGAGGAAAGGCTGAGGGAGCTGGGGCTGTTCAGCCTCCAGAGGAGACACTGAGAGGGGCCCTCAACCATGTCTGTCACTGTCTGCAGGGAGGGGGCAGAGGATGGGCCAGGCTCTGCCTGGGGAGCTCAGCGATGGCACAAGGGGAACGGGCAGGAACTGATGCCCAGCAAGTTCCACCTGGACATGAGGAAGAACTTCTTCCCTGTGCAGTGACTGAGCACTGAAACAGAGACCAGAGAGGGTACGGAGTCTCCCTCATAGGAGATATTCCAGAACCATCTGGACACAATCCTGTGCCATGTGCTCTGGGATGACCCTGCTGGAGCAGGGAGGTGGGACCAGATGACTCACTGAGGTCCCCTATCACAGAATTACAGAATATGCTGAGTTGGAGGGACCCACGAGGATCACCCAACCCTCAGCCCTGCACAGGCCCATCCCCACGAGTCACACCACGTGCCCTAGAACATCATCCAAACACTCCTTGAGCTCTGTCAGCCTTGGTGCTGTGCCCACTGCCCTGGGGAGCCTGGGGAGCCGCCCCCTCCCTGTGCCGGCCAGCGATGCTGTCTGTCTCTAATGCCCCCCAGGACAGGGCTGGCCCTCCTGGCTGCCAGGGCACTGCTGACTCATGGCCAACTGGCCACCGACCAGGACCCCCAGGGCCCTTTCCCAGCACTGCCTTAGTGCTTTCCAGCACCTCATTCCCTGGGTTATACACACAGCCACGGCTAACCAGTCCCAGGAGCAGAATCCGGCACCTGCCCTTGTTAAACTCCCAGCCTGGCCGTTTCTGTGACTCTGTGCTTTCTGTGACTGTGTCCCCCGCCCACGGGGCTGCGCGCCGCTGACCCGGCCCCGCTCCCGGCCGGGCAGCGCGGCCCTCCCCGAGCGCTGTGCCCCCAGCCCCCCGCCGCCCGGCGCCCTCCCGGCACAGGGAGGAGGCGAGGAAGAGGGCAGGAGAGGCGAGGGAAGCCCAGGACCGGTCACTCACCGCAGAGGCCCCGCACCTCTCCCGCCTCCCGCCGCCGCCATGTTTGTTGTGCCTCCCCCGGCCCGGCCCGGCCCGGCCCCGCCCACCGCCGCTCTCGCGAGACCCGCGCGCGGGGCGGTGGCTCTGACATCACCGGGGAGGGGGCGGTGGCTCTGACGTAATGGCCGCAGTTCTGACGTCACGGGGCGGGTCAATATGGCGGCGGCGGCGGGAGCTCGGCTCCGGGGCTGTGCGAAGGTGATGCCTCAGGGCGGGACGGGCTAAGGGGGGGATGCAGAGCGTCCTGCCGGATAACGGAGGCTCCCGAGCCTGCCGGTGACGGGGCCGGGTCTGGGGGCTGTCGCGGTGCGGGGGCTGCCGGGGCAGGGGCAGCTCTGCCGGCGGTGAGGGGGGTTTGTGGATGTCTGCCATGTGGGTTTCTGTATCCATTCTGGATATATTCTGGAGGGGCGGTGTTGGGTAAGTTCGTGCCGAGAGTTCTGGTGAGTCTCGTGAAATGGCCTGTGAGGAGGCAGCACCGTCCCGGCAGCAGAGGGGCTTTGAGGTCTCCTTTACTTAAATCCCCCAGAGGGTGGTTGGGCACTGAACAGGCTCCCAGGGCAGTGGGCACAGCACCAAGGCTGACAGAGCCCAAGAAGCGTTTGGACAACGCTCTCAGGGACAGGGTGGGATTGTTGGGGTGTCTGTGCAGGGCCAGGGGTTGGACTGGATGATCCTTGTGGGTCCTTCCAACTTGACATATTCTGTGATTCCGTGGTTCTCTAAACACACCTGTGGCACTGGAAGGGGGATCAAAATAAGGAGAAAACCCGTGTTTGTGCCACGCACACGCTTTGACTGTGCAGGGTGAGAAGACAAGCTGGCCTGGGGCCTTCTCATGCAGCTCTTGGGTGTGTTGTGACACTTGAGTTAAGTCGAAATAAAGAAAAGCAAACTTCCCACGATGGGGCTTCTCTGCTGGAAGCAGCTGGGATGGGTACAGGAGTGGAACCCATCAAGGTAAGCAGACTAAGCTTAGGAAAACATTGCTTTGGCCTTTTTCTGTTTGTATCTTAATGCTCCCCCCAGGTCCTGCAGCATTAAAATCTTGTTTTAGATTGTAAAAGAAACAGAAGGAAACCAAGAGAAAGGGTCTTTAAAGAGCTGAGATGGAGGGAAGGATGGAGATAAACAGAAAAATCAATGTTATCAGCAACCCACAAACCAATTTTCAAATGCATGTGTTGAGCAGGGCAAGCAATCTGAGTCCTGTAGCAGCACAAATCATTACCTACAGAAAAAGAAGAGGAAGAAAAGGGCAGGGAAGCAATATCCAAGGATTTGGGTAATGTACAGGCACTTTAAATAACTACCTGAAAGTTAGTGATGCTGTATGACTGCATGACTTCTAAGAATAAAGAGGTAAACAGTAAAATAGTGACCTGATTCTGGGTTTTTTAAATATAAACGTTGAACTAAAACATAATTTCTTCACTGGGGTGTCGTTGCTCTGCAATACCTGTGAGTTGCTGCTCTGTGTGTGGGTGTTGCCAGCATAAGTCCCATGCCTTGGATCCATCCTGCTGGTTCTAAGACTTTTCAAGGTAACCTTGTTGGAAATGTTCCTTTTGTCCAGTATCAAACAAGGCTTCATTAAACCATGTCTGTTAAGTGTTGGAGCCTTTGTTTCTCTTACCATGGTCAGACACCTTTCCCTGCCACTCCCTGGGTTGACTGCAGTGGAAGAGCCTCCAAGGGAAAGTGATGGGAAGGAGGGAGAGCATGAGAAAGAGGGAAGAGAAGTGGCTGAGGGGACAATTCCTGTGGGTGCTCGCTCTCCAAACCTGCTGTGCTGGCTGTGACCTGCAATGACTCTGAGCTGTTTGTTGGTGTTTCAAAGCTCCCACGTGCCAGCCAGGCTTTTGGCAGGTCACCTCTGCTGGTGTCACCCCGTGCACTTGTGCCTGACCTTGCTGGACTGCTGTTAATTAAGTTTGTCCAGCTTCCCATGGGAGAAAAATCCGTGTATTTTTTGTGGTGTGCAAGATCTGTGCTTCGTGCTTTTCCTGGAGCAGCACCCTCGGTGTGTGTTGGGTGATGTGGTTGGTAGTTCTACATTCCCATGTCAGGTGCCTTCAAACAACAGCAGAGGTAACCCCAGGGTGTTGTGAGGGTGGTGGGGCCCTGGCACAGGTTGCCCAGAGAAGCTGTGGCTGCCCCATCCCTGGAAGTGTCCAAGGCCAGGTTGGAGGGGGCTTGGAGCAACCTGGGCTAGTGGAAGGTGTCCCTGTCTGTGGCAGGGAGTTGGAACTGGATGATCTTTAAGGTCCTTCCCACCCTTAACATTCTGTGATTCTGCTACCTGTTGTTGTTTCACCAGTACTGGTTTATTGCCTCAGTATTGCTGAGCAGCTTTTCAAAAAGTTCTCTACTAAGAAGGCACCGTGCACTTTCCCTGACAGCTCTTGGTCAGTACTGGAGAAATATTCTTGGTAATTCATCATATTTGTGCCACCATGAAAGAAAACTGCTCTTTTCTTTGTACTTCGAAATAAAGTAGTGGAAGGAGCAGGAATTATGTGTGGTTTGTAGCCCTGTAACTGCTGAGAAGTGCAGTTAAACAGATGTGTGTGTGTATACTTAGGTTTTTCCATCTCAGACTTTGCTAAGAACAGACTTACCCAGGTGGATGTTTGCACACCGGGGTGTTGAGTGACCCAACAAAGCTGCATGTTGTGCAAATAATCCATTCCTGACTGACTGCTTCCAAACAGGGTTGCCTTGGATTTAATCTCTGTGAAAACAACATTTTCTTTATTTTTGTGAAGACCCACAGTGACTCCAGTAACTTAAACATCATTTGAAAGCGTTGCATCTATTGCTGGTCATCCAGACTTTGTATTCATGAATCAGCCCCACTAGTCAGTACCAGGGCTGTTGAATGTGAATGATCATTGAATGTTCACAGCAATATTGTTTTCTATATTATCATTTCTTACCGTTTAGGGTTTTTTCTTATGTCATGCACATCTGCCTGTGCTAAAACCAGAGTTTCCTTATCATAGTAGACTTGTACTTCTTGTCTCTAAGACCAAAAGAGTTCATCGATCTGTTTTACATCACTTCTTCAGCCAGGGAGATGACAAGTGTTGAAAGCCAACATGAAAGAGAGTGAATTATTAGAAGGATCAAAGGAATTTTTACTTCCTGACCCCGAAGTTTGTGCTGTTTTTTGAGGAATGCTGCTCTCAGTGTGCACTGTGAAACTGCCCTGTGCTCTGGGAGCTACACAGGCGCCTGGTGAGGGCACAGCCAGTCGTTCTGCTGCTGTGGGGTTGAGGCTGAGTGCTGCCAAAAATGTTGGCAGGCATGTGCTCATATATTTTATGGCACAGCTATGTCTCCACTGGAGGTTTCTGTCAGCAGCTGTCTTGGTGAGACATTCCTGTCTCCACACTTCAGGCTGACGTAGCAAAAGTGACAGAAATCTGTAGCAAAGATCTGATCTGAGGGCATCAGCCACAGAGCGAGGTGGGTTTGGGCAGCTGTGAGAGCAGAGTCACTGTTCTGTTTTGCCTCTTTTGAGGCACAGTCAAACTGCTGCTTTTTTGAATCCTGCTTTTCAGGAGCACATTTTGCAGCAGCTTAGCTACTGTTGGCCCATTATTTTTGGAGCCAGATCATATCCATTATGCCAGCTTCTTTTCAGATTCCAGGAAATCATTCTGTTCTTGGAAAGTATATTGGCCTGCAAACCAAACTTACCTTTCTAAAGCCTGTGAGCTACTTGAGTAGGTCTTTGAACACTAAACAGTTTGTAGGTCCCCAAGAAAGAAGGAACCTATAATGCCTCTGTTGTCTGGATTGGATGTAAGTTCTGTTTCCCAATCATTTACTGAATAAAAACAATAGGTGTATTGCTGTGTGTGT